TGACATGATGTGAATTGGAGCTATAGAAATAAACTGAATTGAACAGAATTGGTCCTTGGTACCTTGCTAAATATTTAGTTTGGAGCTAAATATTTATTTAAAAACTAAATATTTATTAAACAAAGTAAGATTTTTATAAATGAATAAATGACATAGTGAAAAAATGACTTGGGGTGGGTGGAGCTTACCTTTGTAAAGATGGCTTACCTTTACAAACGGCGCCACATAACCCTGAACATCCTTATATTTATGACCCATGAGAAGTAACATGTGTGTCTGTGTGTGTGGCTGATTGGATGAGTGTGTGCATGCAAGGAGAGGTAAGGAGGTTGAAAGGCTTGATCTACAGCAGGTTGGGGTGAACATAAGTAGGGTCACTAATCCAGCGTCTCCGGTTTCCATTTAATCGCTCTTAAAGGAAGTGTTCAGAGGTTCCCACAAACACAGGACAATGAGGCCAGTCTGCCGCTGGAATGCTGCTAAAGCTACCCACCATCTATCTACCAGAAACTCCTCCTCTTTCTTACCCTCCCAGTTGCTCCAGGATTATTGTTAAAAATACTTGTTGTTAAAAATAAACAATTTGTCAGAAGATAAACCTCCAAAGCTTTATGGCTAAGTTATCAAGAAAGGAGATATTTGGTTGGAAAAACACCAATATCGCCAAAATGTATTCATTCTAATGCTTAATGTTTAAAGAGAGTTAATTGTTTGAATAAAGTTCCTAAAGATCAAATGTGATGTGAAATGGTGTTATATAAATAAAATGAGTTGAATTATGCCAACTAGGATGAAGGAACTTGGTTCTTTCCAAAATCTTTATTCATTCTGGTCCCAAATCAAGAAGGCTTGAGGAAAATGTCAAATTCAGATCCATTTGGACATGTCAGTATTTCATTTAAAGCAAATCCCTGCTGCTAGTTTTATGAGAGCTAAAAGGAAAAGTCCGCCTAGCGAGGAATAATTAATGAATGATTATTTATACCTAAAACTAAAACGTTTGCAGTGATTTAATGAATTAAGTGTTAATCAGTAAAAAAAATAAAAACAATTATTTTCATCGTGAATACTGAGTCTCGGAGCGGCCATTTTTGCCCAAATATAGTAACCCCTCCCTCCTGCCATGGTAAAAGTGAAAATAAAGAGTTATTCCACCTTTCTGATTCCTGATCCTCCACGG